TAAGGTATTTATAACAAAATTAATGTTTTTCATATGAAAATCCGGTTGAGACAATAAAAGAGCACGGTCTAACGGTTACCCTCTAAATTTTATTTTCGACAATATAAACAACATAAGTAAGAAATTTATTTCAAAGAAAATTAATAACTCTTTTGATTTTTTCACTCCGGAACATCCGGAACATAGATAGACAATTAATAACGCTACCTTACATTAATAAGTTTTCGGAAAACATCACACATGCGTTCAAGAAAAAAGATAGTATCATAGGCTATAAATGCCGACTTAGACTGAATAAAATAATTAAAACGCATAAGGAACTTACTCCTCATGTTATGAACAATAATGTAATTTATAAAATTAATTGTATGAATTGTTGTGCGTCTTACGTGGGGCAAACTAAGAGACAGATAAAAACAAGAATTAAAGAACATATTAATAATATTAAAAAAGATGCCTCGCAACTATCTGTTATTTCCAAACACAGAATTGACTACGACCATTTGTTTGACTGGGACAATATTGAGATTTTAGACGTTGAACCGAATTTTTATAAGAGAATAATTTCTGAAATAATACATATTAAAGAACAAACACAAGGGTTAAATTTAATCAGTGACACAGATTTACTTGATGATTTTTATTTTTACCTACTCGAAGACATGAAACGCTCAGACGGTTAGTTTCAATTTCAATTTTAACTTCAATTTTAACTTCAATTTTAACTTTGGATTTAGCGTATTATTTTGATATTTTGATGTTTGGGATGGAGAGGGGCATCATGTATATATTTGGCTGTTTCTACTGTTTGTTCAGCGTTCGATTTTGACTTTCATCATGTGAGTATGCTGTATTGTTTGTGTGTTGATTTACTGGGCGATAATATGTCAATACAATCTGTGGGCTATTTCAGGACTAAAATTTTAATCAAGTAAGATTCCACTTTCATTGTTTATATTCAACAACACAGTTATAACGAGTTGATGTGATGACGTTTTTTAATTAATATACTGAAGATGACTCAAGTAGGATCGAAACGTTTACTATTTATTTTTCTGCGTTTTCTGCGTTATAGTATCATTGCGGATTTATTGATATTTTGTTAATAAAGAACCTACATTGCTCGTAGAACAGACCTATGTTTGATTGTTAATTATTAATTTATATTTCGAGCGTTTTTTAATGTTATTTGAAGGTTTTAGTTGTTCCGATTTAATCAGGTCCGCATTCATAGTCGTTCCTCAAATCTTAAATTTCATCTTTAATTTTATGTCTCAAAACCGACTTATTTTTGGATTTTATGTTTATAGCTTATGGTTATAGCTTTTTTTTTCTTGTTTTTGGATCTTTACTTATTTTTCAAAGTATTGTGAGCAATTCTCCGGACACCCTGTATAATGTATACTTCCCACATGACACGTAATATTACGGAAATTTTGTATCACAGTAAAATTGCAACATATCTACAGTACTATTAGATAATAGAATACAATATTACACTAATATTATTGATAAATTACATTTATACAGTGTGTCCCATTTTAATGTCTTACCCCAAATACCTTTCTTATTTGTGATCTTACAAGGGGAGACTACGACGATGAAACAATCGATTTGGACGAAATTTATAGGATCGATAGATGATTATGTGGAGTATTGAAGGAAAAGTAATAAGACGCACTACTCAAGCATTTGCGAGAAAATCGAATTCGAAAATTTTGAAATACATTATGGGAATATTAAATAGGCTGCTTAATCAAAGGGCGTGTAGCGTAACGGTAACGTACTAGGTACTAGGTTAGGGTAGGTTAGGTTAGGTTAGGTTAGGTTAGTAGTGTAGACGCGAGCGCGGAAAAAGTTCGCATCGCTCCGCGCCTCCCAACGAGTAGTAGCCCTTCGCGTGATATGCGGCTTCCGTACGGTGGCGAGAAAGACGGCGGGCGTACTGGCGGAGATGCCTCCCCTTGCCATCCTCGCTGGCATGTACTCGGCGAGATATTCTCGCCGGGTCAAACTCCAGCGGGAGGAACTTGCGGGGGATGCTCTGCAGCAGGCCCTCGCCAGGTCGGAGCGCCAAGCCCGGCGACAACTGCTCCTTGGTTGGGAGCAGCTCCTGAGCGAGC